TCTATATAGCTAAATTTTTACTAAAGACGGATCAAGACCTAATTTTTACATCCTCGATACTTGAATTCAAAATTTTGTAAAATCTCGAAACTCTCGAAATTCGAAATATAAATGTAAAAATTATTTATCTTTTATTGTAAAAATTATTTACTATCTATTTTTTTATTTCTTATTATCAATATTATTGATAAATACTAATATAGTAATAATATGTATTATACTTGTATTATTATCATAGTAACAATATATATTATATTATAATAATTACAGAATAGAATATAATACTTATAAGAAAATACTTTCAGAACATCAGCTGATTTACTGGTAAGAGATACAAAATGCAATACTAGTAGTATTCAATACTGCCAACTTAATTTTTTTTTGTTGCTAACAATAAACAAATCTTTTTTTCAAAAGTATTAATGATAACCATAGATCTATCCGCGTTGCTTAAAAAATTTGTTGTTCAAAAATTTTTGCATTTAAAATGAGATAAATATATACATATTTGGGCGTTGAAGAGAAAAAAAGCGAAGACACTGCAAAAGGTGCAAGCACCGCAAACAGACATGTAGCCACAGCCTTTTCTATTTTAACCAGATAGCTGATTACTCGCTTGTATGTGTTACTTTTCTACACGTTGTACATACAAACTTCTATAAATAGATTGCCGTCTTTGCTTCCATATTTGAAAACATATAAATAAAAAAGTCCCAGATTGGTAATATCTCGAAAGCTAAGAATTTCCGAAAAAAAATGTTTTCTATAAAAGTTGTAGGATTTTAAATAATCTATTCAGATCTGATCTGATCAGATCAGTTTGATCTTGGGTGGCGCCAAGGTTAAATCAAGATCACATCAATTTTCTTAAATGACACACCTCATTTTTAATCTAATTATAACTGATGTCAAGTGTTTTTCAAACCACTGCAATAAAGTTATTTTTCATAAAGTACTTTTCGAGTTATAAGACTTGAAAGTTACAATACTGCCGGCATTTAAAAAAATCGACGTGACTTTGACCTAACCTTGATAAGGCCACCAGATCAGTAAATAGATCATTTAAAACCCTACAACTTTTGTAAGAAACATTTCTTTCAGAAATGTTTAGTTTTCGAGATATTTCATCGATTCGGGACTTTTTACTCACCCTGTATATTTATTTGATACAAAAATCATTAATTTTAGTTAAGTATCATGTTTTATTAAGAAAATATTTATTTACTGTAAATAAATAAATTTTTAGTTATTCAAATAAATATTTATTAAAATTTAGTAAATTTTTTTCAATATACACGTGCATTTTTTCAGCTGAAAAAGGGATCATCTTTTTCTTGTAATTTTAATAGTATAATGAAATTTAACCTGAATACAATTTTGCATCTATTTATTTTATTGCAATTAATATATATATATATATATATATATATACATAAGTTTAATAATTTCTAAAAAAGGATTCTGAAGATAGAATTAATAGATTCGATATGTTTCTCGATATGTTCTTCCTCTTGTATTCAGCACATTGTCACTTTGAACGGCACATACCGCAGTAACCGCACCGCGACATCAAAACAGACAATTCGCAGTGCTGCAGTGTCAGCAATTCTTACCGCGAACTCTCTCTCTCTCTCTCTCTCTCTCTCTCTCTCTCTCTCTCTCTCTCTCTCTCTCGCTCTCTTCGGATGACAGTGCAAAGTGCAATTCTATCTCCAATATAACTACGGGAATGCTTGAAATTGGAACTAGATCGTACTGTTGTACGATATACATTAAGCTAAATCACATACGGGAATCACATACGGACGTAGAAGCGAAGTACAATATTCCTTAATTTTGCTAATATTGAATTAGCAAGATTATTCTATAGCTTACTATAAATTCAAACCATAAATGCATCAATAAATAATGGTACATAAAACAGTCATATAAAAATTTTATCGTAATGTATAGGTTTTAACCAATTGTAATGTCTAGCTTAAATTGCACTGAATAATACAACTTGCGGCAAATATTTCATTGACAAACGTTTATACTTTTATCAATTTACATGCAACCCATTAATTGTGCAACAATGCAGTCCATTCAATCCCATTTGTGATTATTATTTTTAATTAAGGCTGCTGTATTTGTAAGATAATTCTGAATTAAGAAAAAACAAATTTTAAATATTTCACGCAAAATAAAATGTATCGGAAATCACTTAAACATTGTCATAAATTTTGAAAAATAAATAGGGACTTTATATTGACTTACAAAGTATTTGTGCAGAGATGTGACTAAAACGTTCAACAAAATTTGTCAAATATTCGGTTGTGTTATGAAAGAATTATTAATTATTTCATTAAACATTTTGAATGCATTTATAATTATAATGACAAAAAATTTCATATATTTCTCTCACAAAACAAAGTAATAAATCTAGTCAAAAACGTTTTAATTTAAAACAAACTTAAAAAATAAAGTAAAAAACAAGAAACTTCAAAAGAAATGTATAACGATATACGATGCATGCTGTGTGTAGAAAAAATAGATGAGTAAAAACAACATAGCGGAAAATACGCAGATGTGAATATTAGATTTCTTGAGTTCTCAAATTATTCAGAACGTTATTGTTCATCAAATATTTTATATAAAATGCGTAATTAATAAAATTTGTTTGTTTAAATATTATGATATATGTATATTAGAATTATTTTTTGAAACATTAAACTTTACTCGAAACAGAATAAATTTATTACCATGAAAAAAGTGTTTTATGAGAAAATACTTAAATAAAAATCTACCAATATTAGATGCTTAAGCGGGATACATGTGTATAGAAATACATATATCTACATAGATTGCAATTAAATCTAATGGTGAATTCGGCACATATGCACAATTACTCTAGTGCTGCCCGCACATAGTGAGAGTGCAGAACTACTTTAGTGCTATGCCAAATTGCACTGTCAAAATCATCAGTGCATTTTTTGAACTCGTTCAGTTCATTCGAATATAAATTCAGCATTACACTAGAGGTTAGTTTTCATTTATCGAATACGATAATCTTAATCCATTGATAATGAGACAGTGCGCAAATACGTGGCACTGAAAAAGTTCGCACTTAATGCACACTAATGGCGGTTTGCCGAATTCGCTATGATTGATTTGATAAATTAAACTCTATGAATTCTAAACGAATCTATGAGTTCCGAAATCCACAAAAACCTAATACATCAAGAAAAAAAAATGAAGCACATTCTATATAAAATATTTAATGAACAATAACGCTCTAAATAATTTGAGAACTCAAGAATGGATATTCTTTAATGGATGACCTAATATTCACGATCTGTTTTTGGCGTCAACGTGAGGTCAAGTAAAAATGCGTGTGCACGACAATTTTCGGCCGTTTAATTTCGATCTCCGGCGTTGGAAAATCCTCATCGGATTTTCACACCGGTCGGAATTACTCCATGCGTCTGCGAAGAGAGGGCTGTTAACGTAAAGCTCGCGGGGTCCGTGACGTTTTCGAGCAAAAAGAATTAAGCGATAGTGGGAAGATACTGGCCGCGCGCGTAAATCCATTAAAACCCGTCTTTTGTTCCCAACCTGACGAAAGGATTTATAGGCCGACAGGCGATGTCGGCGGTCGTGCCGTAACAAAGACAAATGGATCCGCGAATGAAGTAGAATGGCCAACGCAGCCTCAAATATAAAATTAGTTTGAACTTCATGCCTCGGTGGTCGCGCGTCATTCACGCGCGCGAAAAAGAGGCGATATAAATATTCGTCGACGTGGTTGTATCCGCTTTTACGGATCCACGCGTCGCATGAATCATTTATTATCCTCTTTTGATGTTACATAATACAATTCGCGGGGGATGCATGTGGTGGGGGTGCGAGGAGAAGAGAAAATTCGTGACGATCCGACATACGTTCGTGATATAATTTGACATGATATAATTTGACGTTCCGCTGCCGCGGAAAGATCCGAGCGACTTTTGTCTCACGCGAGATTTATGATATATGATAATTTTATCGCGTGGCAAAACCGGAAAATTACACGCATGTCGAAACCGACGCGCACAAAAAACGTCCGTCCGAGGCGGTGCTCAGAGAAAGATTTGCGCTCGGATTTTCGCGACATGAACGTGAACAATGAGCGACATTAACGTATCAGCAAACGAGTTTTAATGTCGTTCGAATCTCATTTAAATAGTGTTTTTACGCCATGAAGCTATTATCCATTAATTAGAAATCAAACAAGCCGTGTTTAAATTTTATACAAATTTAGAGTCCATACGAACATGCAATTAAATAATACAAAATCCAACTTCGTAAATCTTTTTTTTTTCGATCATCAAGTATAAGAGAGAATTAATCAGAGAAATATTTTTTTTATTATTATCAACGCTAGAATCATCAGATGATGTTAAAAATGTCACGCGTACTTCGGAATTGTAATCCGTAAATATTACATGTCGTTTTTGTAGATATAAAAAAATAGGCAATTCATGACTCTCGTTTTGACTCAATTTTATTTCGCAATTTTGGTATTTAATGTACACTTTTCCAATATAAATCGCCCCCCTCCCTTTCTCTCTCTCTCTCTCTCTCTCTCTCTCTCTCCCTCTCTTTCTCTCCCTCCCTTTTTCTCTCTCTCTTCCCCTCTCCCCCTTCATTTCACATAGAAAATGTGTCATCCCACTTATAAGCGCGCAACTTATAAGAGCATCCGTCAAATAAGTTTCCTCTTCATACCCGCTATGTCCAATGTATATAATATTAAATCACGCACATTATTTGCCTTTTAAATTCGTTTGGGTAGCAGCGTTTAATTACACTTTATAGGTGTCACAGAGAAGGAAAACTCATTTCGAAAGTCAGATTCGCGGGAAATAAAATTGACAGAGCTTTAGTCTCATTTTCTTCTTTTTAGCGATTTCTTCTCAGAAAGCATGCGGAACCGAGAAGGATTTACGTCATGCGGACAAACAGAGGCGCAGTGTGCTTACCGCTGATCCACGTGCCGTTGAAACTCTTGGGGGATAACGAACCCGAGAGCCATTCCTCCAAGGAAATGCCGGCTGCACCGTTCGTTCTGGACGCAGTGGAATCCGGACTGCCGGTCAGAAGGATCGCCGCCGCGATCACCAGAGCCAGCACGATTATAAGGACAATGCCGCAAGCCAGCAAACGCCATTTATATCGCTGCTTGTTCTTCGTCATGAGATCCTGCAAACATTATTATGAGCGTTGAGTATATGAACAATACCGATATGATGGAAAGCATCTAATAATAAGATTTATACAATCGCCAATAAAATACAATCGGTGATACATTTTTTATTTTTATAATTAATACAATCAAAAAGATAATCAATAGGCTCTAAAGAAAAATCTAAAAAATAATAAATAAAATGCCAATTTGAGCCAACATTGGTTATTTGTGTGTATTTTATATCATTTATAAATATTATTTAATGAGCTTAAATGATTATATCATTTAAGCTCAATAAATTTGTCAAAGTCCAGAAAGATGTGCTACCTCAATCTTCTCAATCTAATGTATTAGTATATAAAATTGATTGTAAGGACTGTGATGCGTCATATGTTGGACAAACAAGCAGATGCCTGAAAACACACATAAGTGAACATAGGAATCGTATTAACAGAAACATGACCCAACATTCGGTTATCACACAACATCATATGGACTTATTTTATAAATTTGATTAGGATAACGTACATATTTTAGACAAAGAGCAAATTTTACATAAAAGATTGTTATCAGAGATACATATTAAAAAACAAAAACTAGGCCTGAATCTACAAAACGATCTACAAACTTTCTCTCGATCTGTTATATATCTCTCAATTTTCATTTTACATTCGACTACCAAACAGTTATAGTTATATTGAGTTATAAGAGTTATATTGTAATAACTTTTAATTTTGTTTCATGTAAATGAATTAAAGTTTGATTTTAACTATTATTTATATTAACTTTTTAATTTATTCATAATTATATTACACAATAAATGGAACAGTCTAATGAAACATGTACAACAAACCTTATAAAAACAATCTTGACAGTCATATAAGTTTATTTTACCATATTTTTTGCGGATAACTTCATGTTAGTAATTTAAAATATTTTTTAACTTCTTTTGGTCGGTCGATTCAAAACAAAAAAAAATCTCTTTCTTTTTTAGTAAACTTAGTAATTTGATGAAGATTAACTCGGATATCATTACTACAATTTTTCCGTATTTTATACGTTAATTTCGCGCTCGTATGCGCTATCATTATGTAATTTTGTAATTTATAAGTTTAAGTAAATTTTTTTGAACTGAAGAGGACCTTGACCATAAGTCAAAACGTATACATTTTAACATTCACTTTGAATAAATGGAATAAAATACACACGAATAACCAGTGTTGGTTCAAATTGTGTGTGTGTGTGTGTGTGTGTGTGTGTGTGTGTGTGAGTGGCATTTTATTTATTATTTAATACAATTAATTCTAGTTCGGTATAGATAACAATTACAATTGTATCTTTATGAACATGAACATTAATTACGTAAGCATATACATATGTGTTTATCAGTCATGCAAATCTATTGTAAAATTTTATTCAATTCACTTTATAAACAGAATAAAATAGAAATATTAATTTATTATTTATTAATATACATACAGAACTATTTATTATTACACAATAATATATAATTTTCTTAAACGTTTGAGAATAATACAATTATTTTTATTATCTTCAAATACTTAAGAAAATTGTATATTATTGCGTAAATAATAAACAGTTAGTAATAGTTTTATTTCATTCTGTTTATAAATTAAATTAAATGAAATTTAATGATAGATTTCCTACGGCTAATAAACATATGTATGCTTATGTAATTAGTGCCCATGTTTAAATTAAAAATACAATTGCAACTGTAATCTACCGAGCTAGAATTTACATTATGAATATTTAGATTTAACTGTACGAAAATATATTAAACATATAATTTATTAACTATTATATTCACGGCTATTGTGTATAAGTAAACATGGAAAATGTTCGAATATATTTCACTTCAGTTACCGACTATGTTGGACTGTTTGATTTATATCAACATCTGTTTGTCCAACATTTTAATTAAAATGTTGCATGCGTGCTGCATCACCGGGGAATGAAGTGCATTCTGGAAAAGTTTTGTAATATCGTCGAAATATTTCTGCGACTGTATGCACACTCGTCAACAGTAGTGTGTAATCGAAATAATTAAAATATCTCAATATTGATATCAGTCAAGTCCATTCACGTAAATTCCAACTAGTATGTAATACGTGTGCGCAAACAAAGTGCGTTGTTCATTATAATTTATCTCTCTTTTTTTAAACGTTTCGTAAAAATCCACTTTTCCCTTTTTCCAGAATCATAGATTTGCATGATAGAATCTATAATCCCAGAATCGTAAAAAGATAATTTTAATTTTGTAGAGAAATTAAAGATTATATAAAAAATTCGTTTTACGAAAATTCGTGAAAATTCAAAAATTCTCACAAAAATACTAGATTTAGTCCAGCTTGAAAAATGAGATAATTTCACATCTCATAATCGCGTAAACGATCCGCGTTAAGTGAGACGAATCAAATATGCTGGTCAGAATATCCCATATATTCATGGAAAAGCCACCGTCGCTTCTCTCTAAAATGACATTCTCGAACGCGGCTAGCGAGAGATATAGCGTTGCTGCGATCGCGATATGAGGAATAGACTGGAAGAGAATGAAAAAGAGAGGAGTGGGACAATTTCTACGTAAGCCGGTCTTATCGAGAATTGGATTTCGTATTTCTGGAAAAATAAAAGCCGGCGGCGCCGCCGCGCACTGCCACCGCTATCAGCGAAACGGCACCAATCGGCAACGTACGCGATCCTATATTTATAAATCTTCTTTATCAAAATTAAATGTGATCGGCGCCACGACCAGTCGGATCTTATCGAGACGACGTCACGACGAAATTTTATCAATAGACCACTCCGGGGTCTATTGATAACGATAATAGAACACGGCAATTTAGAGAGAATAATCGCAAGTAAATCAATACACAAACAGTGTTCGAGTTAAAGACCATAAAATGCAATGACCATCCAAAAACGCCATCCAAAAACGAATAGAATCAATTTTCCACGTGGAATCTACATTTACGTCATCAGATATACAGTGTTTCAAGTACTCTCGGATAAACTTTGAGGAGAATGATGGATTTTACTGCACAGTTCAACTTTTGTTAAAGATGTATAATCTTTATAAAAAGTAACTGAAATTGGAAAATTATACTTTTCATATTCAAATGAAATATAAAACAGTTCAACAAGGTCGATATTTATATTTATAACAATACAATCTTATAATTTAAATGAAAATTTTTTTATTTCACCTTAACTGGTTTTAAACATGTTTGCTTGTGAAATAATTTTTGTTTTAAATCGTTGCCAAACTTCGTATCGCTTTCAAATACAATATAGAAAAATTTATTATATAATTTCTTTATGTTGTTGAAAAGTACATGTAAAATACATCTTTAACCTGTGTTTTTCGAGAGTCTAAGGAGTTATATATCTTTATATAAACGTTTGGATCGATTGTAAGGTTCGCAATCGATTGCGCGATTGCATATAACAATCAATATTTTTGCTTTTTTTTTGTCTTTTTGAAAAAAAAAAACAAAAAATTAGTATTCAGACGTAGCTCCTTAAAAATGCATCGGAAGTCACAGATTCCTAAACAAAGAGTTGATTCTTTTGAAGAGATTTATCATCCCCTAAAGTTTATCCCAAAGATTTCTGAAATGTCCTATATACAGATAAAAAAGTTTTCTCTCACATTACAATTCCATATATTATTATTCTTTCCACAATAAATATATACTTTTTTTATAATCATACATAAATATTATTACATTAAAGATTTTTCTGCCCCAAAAATCTACTAATAAGTAATACAATTAAGCGTTCTTCATACGCAGTACTTAAAAAGATTTCTATTAAGAATATACCAGAATTCAAATTATAAATACGATGCAACAGATCAAAGATGCATTAATTTATTACTTAATGCTCGCAATAAGAATACTTTTTACACAACTAACGTGTGGGATTTTCGGTATTTTGAACAGATATCTATTAAATGTTTGGAAAGTTGTATCATTACTTTAGACGAATACATGCATTGGTGGAATATATCTTTTATATATGGTCGATATCAGCAAACGCACAACGATGCGATTTTTCCTTCTTTATTTCTCTTTTTTTTTTCTCGATTTCAGAAGCTCCTGCAAGTGCGCTCGGCGTGATTTATGAGCGAACGTCTTGACGGCACCGGATACGCTTTTCCTATACAGAGTGGAGAAACGATTTACGATTCGGCATTTAACTCACTGTCGCGTTAAAGAATGCGGCCTTTCCATTTATTATGCGTCGATGAAACGCGATTTCTTCGATGAGAATCCGTCGGAAGTGACATGAAACCTAAATGAAAATGAATCGCATAAAACATAAGTTGAATTTTAACAAAGTGTGAAAAAATTAATAGAAAATCAGCTTTCCAATTGCTAGCAAAGTTTAAACAGGGAGTAAACTATTTTAATTACTTACTATAAACCAAATGCTAAATAATCTCCAGTTACTAAATAGAAATCTTGAAGGTAATTATTAATTATCGAACTCAAATATACGTATAAAAAAATTCATTTTCCATAATATTTAATTTTTGCCATTAAACACACAGACACACATACACATATTTTGAGCAACAAAGTTTCAATCAAATTTGTCAAATTAAATTTTACTTTATCAAATTAAATTTTAATTTCTGCGGAATTAAATTTCACTGTTGAAATAACAAAAACATACACAAGAATCAACAAACGATGCATATATGCATTTTCTTCTGAAGAAAGAAGAGAGCAGGAAGAGCTGAGAAAAAAATTATATTGACAGAGATGATAAGGTATTTAACTCTCCGTAGAATAATGCCATGTTAAACGGCATGAAAAATGTCGGATATACTTCAGCCGAAGGTGTTTCGTCCTATACAATTCGTAACTACCACTATATGTGCGCGAAAGCAGCAATAATAGGCCACAATAAATATCACGGTCTATAGATGCTCGGCATTTCTAGTCGCGCTCGAAAATTTCTAATATATTTCCGTACAACGAGCGATTTC